TGATTCCTTCTCACTCTTCCAATCATCATTTACCCCTCTCTATACTTACCATGTGCCTATATTTTATACTCCTCTATACATATGTAGGCCATATACAGCGACATGTTTAAGGAGAAAACAATGCGTTTACTTGCGTCACAAATTTTTATCTACTTGATTATCATGCATATATGCTAACAAAAGAAATCTGGCACTAGCAAACAACATCTCACGTGTTTGCCAGTGAGATTAGATTATCCTAAACTTGGTTAGGAATAGAAATGCCATTTTCTCATTAAATCAGTCTAACAAAGGGTTAATGTTCTAACAGACACTCCATTCTGAGTAATGAACGAGCCTAATTGAACTAAACCCATATAACAACAAAATCAAGTAAATTATACAAATTCTTTCCATATATAAATAGTTACAATACACTAAGAACGGTGGCATGAAAATTTAAAACAACAATGATCATCCACTTGCCAAGCCGATGTGTAAACGGTTCAATTTCTCATAGATCTCCTTGTTTCAATTTCTTAAGCAAAAAAAAAATAAATAAATAAATCCCTTCATTAATATTATCCTATTTTCCCTTTTTAACCATTTAGATCGTTCCACCTAACATATTCCTAGATTAAAAACAGGATGGATATTCCCTTTAATTACGAGCAATTATTCTTACTTGGGTGCTATTTCTTTACTTCTAAGTTTCAATGGAACTAAAGAACCCTAAAAAACATACAAAAAAAAAAAAAAAAAAAAAAAAAAAAAAAAGCACTCCTAAACATGAAAATATTACCAGAAAACTGAAGTAAACTTACTAATTAGTCGATTCTTTTCAAAAGATTGCAAAAAATTTACACAGAATGGATCAAACATACCTTAAGAGGCACGCAATCTGATAAGGCAAGGATTCTTCAGACCCATGAAGCAGAGAAGACGAACAAATCATCTCAGAAACTGAAATAAAGTAATAGCAATTGGAGTGGCAGAGTTTATAATCAGAAGGGAAGTTGTTCATCGTTGTCATTTTGGAGTGGGTTTCCGTTTAAAAAGAAATCGAATTCCGCTATTATTATCCTATTTTATTTAACTGTTTATTATTTAAAAAAAAAAAAAAAAACAAATTTACAACAGACATGTTATGCGTTTACACACGACACACCGTCCGAATTATACCATAAAACACGACGTGTCGTATACATATACATGTATTATTTAAAAAGCCCTTTTCCCATAGACTAATGGTATAGTGTAAAACAGTATAAAAGATATTTCAGAATCCAAAATAAGAAAGTCAACAGAAGTTTGCAATCAAGTTTAGGAAGTTCTTGACTATCAAATTTCTGATTTCCTTCTCTAAAATTGATTAATCTTTCATTGTTTATTTATTCTCTATAATTATAAACCACTCTGTCACCCCCATGAAACCCATTGAGTTTTTCACCTCCCTCCTTTTTCCCCTCAAAATCCTCAAGATTTTTGTTTTGGCTTTTGCTTTCTTTACTGCTCAACAATGGAGACTCCACCACCAACACCAAATAGTCTAATGGGTTCAAGAAAGGAGACAAAAACAAACCCCCGATAAACAAAAGCATGTCTCTTATCGTAAAACAGTGATATGCATGAAGCGGAAGAGCCACAACAACCCACAAGACTACAAAGTAACAACTGAAATTTCGACACAATCCGGTCTTGTTTGTCAAGTTAAAATAATTAAGAGGCGGAGAACAAGTTTCACCACTCTTTCACCGACAAAGAACGCTCAAGCTTCATCGGAACTTAAGTTGTTTGACGATACTTGGCCTACTGCAAACACACCTATGGCTAAAGAATAGTTTGAGGGAGTTGAAAAGAAGAGAGAGACGGCCAACTCCACAATAGCAAGGATGAAACATTATAGTCCTAAAGAGGAGGAGGAAGAAGAGAGGACGTAATTAAATGGTGTTTCGTTTCAACCAAACTAAACTAAAACTCTAAACTCGTCCATGGAAAATAAAGAAGAGGTTATCTGTGTAAGCTAGCTTCTGTTACAAACAAGTACATTAATTTTTCCATTCCGAAGAAAGCACCACTTCTAACAGCTACGTTCAGAAATTCATCAACATCCAAAATGTGAAGGCAGAAGATGAAATTGGATTGTATTGAGATCCCTACCCTTTGAAGATTTGTTTTCAAGATTATACCATAAGTCGTTTAATTATAAGTTTAAAATAAGATTAAATTGATACTTTATATTAATTCTTAACTTTGACCTAAAATGTTGGATCAATTATTGAAATATATATAATATTTACGAATGTACCCTTTTTGAAATGAAAATACCCCTCTTGTCAATAATGTTAACTTACCCGTTTTATAGATAATACATGGGTGAATATATAGTGGCTTTTAATTTTTGTCACTATTTGTTTAATCAATGAAATCGTGGGTAACCTATTTCTTTTATTTATTCTTTTGTTCAAAGTTAGTTAATTTATGCGATCAACAAATGACACGAGTTTCAAGTTTCTATTTCCTGGAAACATTAATCAAACTTTGAACAAAAACAAAACCTCACAACAAAATTCTAGACTTTTTTTCTGTTTTGAACTGATATCCCCACTAACAAAAACACGAGATTTTAATGATATGTAGCCTAATTTAATAACTTTAGATGTTTAATTACTTTGTAACGTACATATTAAACTTTAAAATATTATTTATATATATACATATGTTAAAGTTTGTGAACTCTATTTAACGTTTAGATACCTATTTTTAAAGATGCAGTAGAATGATTTACCAAATTGTATTAACATAGTCAGGTTTACAATAAATCAGTAATAATAACAAGCTGTAAATGTAAAGCACACTAACATATACATGATTCGGCTAAATCCACTTTTAGCCTAATCCATGGGAACTCGTCCATATCTAAGCAAATCTACTAATCAACAAACATTATAAGATATAGTTCAAAGTTGATATAAGATCACTACAAGAAAACTGACATTTTGCAACAAATTTTTTAGCAACTAACCAGAATTAGTTGCAAAAAGGATAAATTTACAAAATAAATTGACATTAGTAGAGCAAAGAGAATTAAAATTTTAGAGCCCAAATGTTCCAAAATTTGGCATCTAAAGTTAATTTTTTGCGACTATTTTGTTAGTCACAGAACCGGTTGCTTTAGTGACTAATAAATTTAGTTGCAATTTTTTTCGGGTGATTTTTCCTTCCAAAATTTGATAATTTGCATCTAAAATATGGCTTTTGCATCTAAATTTTTGGTTACAAAAAACAATTTTTTGCAACTACTAATTTAGTTGCTAAATTAGCTGCGAATAATTAGGAATTTATTAGTAACTATTATGATTAGTTGTAGAAAAATAAAATTACCAAAATATCTCATATTTAGACAGTAATTACAAAGGCCCCAAAGTATAAACAGCAACTAAATTTGATTTAGTTGCTAATTTTACTTAAAAAATTCATATTCCCCCCAAAATTATTTGTTCCTGCCAGACCTCAATTATGGGCAACTAACGCTAATGCTTTACTGACTAAATTTTTAGTTGCAAATTGACTTATTTCCATAATAGAATTATATTTCAAAATTAAATAACTAATTAGAACCCTTACTTTTTTAAGTTATTTACAGAATACCCTATCCTATATAAAGCAAACATTTTTTGCAATTTCATCTTTTCTCCACGCATGTTTGCCCTAGCTTTTTCCCCAAATTTCCCAAACGCACAACCCAAATTTCATCTCTTCTCCACGCATGTTTGCCTTCGCTGTTGCCCGAATTTCCGAACTGCAGAACCTGACTTCATCTCTTCTCCACGCATCTTCATCGTTCAATTGATCTCTTTGGTTTCCTTCATTCATCGAATATGAGGCAGTCCCTAACCTCCCATAAGTACAATTTTTTATTCTTTAGTTCTCTCACATGGTAACATTGAATCTGATTTCAATTATGTTTGAGTGAGACCTTTAATCTTGTAATGCTATTTACATTACCCAAAAAGAAACTCTCTACACCTCTCTCCATATGCCTTCTTTAGCACCCTTCGACGTTAACGGAACGAAAGAAGAGAGGCAGATGACGAAGGAAATAGCTCTTCAAAGTTTAGACGAAACTGACTTTTCGGCGGAAAAGAAGAAAAAAAAGGACTCAAAGAATAAGGCAGATGACTCTGAAAGGTCTAAGAAGAAGGATAGAAAGAAGTGAAAGGTTATGGAAGAAGATGACGAAGAGAGAAGTGAAACGAGCTCGGAATTAGGTGAGCCTGTGAATTTGAAATCAGATATATAAGAAGAAGCAAAAGAAAGCGAAAGTAGATGCTGAGGTGGAAGAGGAGGAGAAGAGTGAGAATCCGAATGCTATTTCTTGGTTTCGAATATCGGAACCATTGAGACAGAAACTCAAGTCTAAAGGTATTGAGTCTCTGTTTCCAATTCAGGCCACCAGTTTTGATATGGTTCTTGATGGCTCCGACTTAGTTGGACATGCACGCACTGGTTAGGTATAATATTCTCTTTTAATTGATTTTTTTTTTTAACTTTTGATATCTTAGTTTGGGAGAAGACTACAAGAATGAAGAAATGGAAATAATGATGTGTGCGGCACGCCTCTGCCTCTTGCATTCATCTTCTAGAAGGCCAACAATGAAGATGGTAAACTTCTTTTTTCATAGTCTAAAAAAAAAATTTGCGCATCAAATTTCCATTCTACCAAAAGTGTGAAGTAATAGAGAATCCTCAAGTTTGACCTCTTTACTGATTGTGCATGTTGGATCAACGTTTTAGATTATCGGAATTGACTCAAGTAAATGCTCTAAAATTTGCAAGCTCTGAAGCAAAAGCCGAAGTACTTGCTGGCAATCACAGTTGGTCTGAATCAGAGGCAAAATATTGATAGAATGGTTAAAAAGGTGTATATGAATGGACCATTTCATTCTTTTTTCTACTTTAACTGATTTTTACTTCAGAGATACTGAGGTTTTTGTTACATAAATTTTGATAGTTTTCTAAGGATTTCCAACTTTTGCTTTTCCACTATGATGGTCGGACAAGTGAATGGGATGAATTTGAGTGGTCAAAGAGCGCAATCCATGTTAGTGCAAGGAGACAAACAAAATGGTGAGATTTTAAAATCTTCTGCATAGTACTGAATTCCAACCTTTTAGCTCCTTTAATTTGAGAGCTACCAAAGTATAGAATAAGCATCTCATTGTTTTTATACGTTTTGTTTTCATGATCATCCATTCTTGAATTGCTTGGATTTATTGTCAGGGTTTTGATGCGAGAAATCTTCAATTTAAGCTTTCATTTTCACATATGATTGGCAGGTGGTATGCAAAAAGGTTTTTGCATCCTGACGTTGTTGCAGCTTATGAGTATATTTTTATTTGAGATGAAGATCTTGACGTGGAACACTTCAACGGGGAGAAGTAAGTTCTATTTTTCCAGTTATGATTTCTGGTCAAGTTTAACAGTCACAACTTTCTTTCTAAATTGCTCCATATGAATAACCATGTATATTGAGTTGGTTAAAAAACATGGGCTAGAGATCTCTCAACCAGGTCTGGAGCCCAATAACGGATTGACATGGCAAATGACGAAGTGGAGGGGTGATCGAGAGGTTCACAAGTAAGCTTTATAGCTCACTCTCCCTTTTGTATAAAGTAGACATTTATTTGATGAGTATTGCTGGATTATTCGTATAATATCAGTTTGCTAAGACATGATGCATTTTGAATTTATTTTCAGGTTTACAAAAGAGAAACCTGGCTGTTGCAGTGATCCACATGTGCCTCCATGTGCTGCATATGTTTTTTCTCTCTCACACGTAGATTTTGTATTATGTTGACATATCTCAATTGGTGAGTTAACATCATTCATAATTATAGTACTTGCATGCTAGTTATTGACATGAAAAATCATGCTTCAGTGAAGAAGTGTCAATTGCCTATTGGCAATAACGGATATTTATGGTTCCTTATATACGACTTGTTAATTGACACATTTTAATTGAGATGCATAGATACAATAACATCTTTTAACTCTTTCTATAAAAGAATGGTATATAAGTTCGATTGTGAAAGAGCAATAACAAATTTTGTTGTCCCTAATTTTCCTTTAAGAATTCAATCGCTCATGTCTCTCTAACCATATGACTCGCTTTCCTGGGCCATGGCTTACAGAAAAAGTCATTTAATTGATGCATTCTCTCTGCAAATTAGGAATCAACTAGAGAAATCAATAAAGATTTCCATGAATCTTCATGCCTCAAACCTATGTTGATTAAATATGTGCGCATATATATCCATAACAGTTAGGAGTTATTATGGGTTCTACTTAAGGTCTAATGTTTAACTCTATGGATTGTAAATTAACTCCATCACCCATCTCAGGAAACATAAGTAATTGATTTTACTTAAGGTCTAACGTTTAACTCTCTACCTAAGGACCCGATTGAGATCCCTTGGGGCAATTATGGGGTTGAATATATTGTTGAATCTTCTAGGGTCTTCACAACAACTAACAAGGCCTCAGCTCACATAAAGGTTAATTCTGAGTTTTTTGACACTATTTTTTTTTTGTTCATTGCTATCTTTTTACCTCTCATACATTTATGTAGAAATTTATGATATTGGTTAACTAAAATTACACTGCAAACACTGGTAAAGTTATGATATTGGTAAACTTATGTAGAAATTTAACTTAGGTAGGCTGAATTTGAAGGGATTGAATTTAATGAGGTGACAATAGGAAGAGTTGAAACCGAGGGACAGCATGCTGAACAATGGTGAATAGTAAAGATGATGTATGCAATGTATCAGAAGAACAATCAAAAGTACAGAAATTGGGACCAAAATCAGACCTTGAATTAAAACCAAGATTATTGGCATAGGTGAGATGACTATTTTTCCATCAGATTTCAAACATTTATAGCCTTTATGAATAAGGTTGTATTCTACAAAAACACATTTGGCTGAATGAAAGAAGAAATTTAACTTAGTTTAAAATTTTAAACTAGGGAATTGAAGTTTAGATTGTTAATCTGTGAGATATTTGCTTTTCTACTCCATCAATTTGATTTTGGTTTGGTGCTGCAGTACGTTCTGTGAACTTTGAGGAGTAGTCTTTCTTTTCTATTGCCATTTCATAAGTTTTTGTCACATATTGTATACCCCAGAATAATTATAATTTATTTGTAATAATTTAGTTTCTTGCTTGACTTATTGATTATGCATTGAATTGATGGTAGGAAAAAATGATACATTCGTGCAATAATGCTTGAAGGAGCAGCTCATCTTACTTGAAGGAGTAGAAGCAGAGTTAAGGCGCATAGTCTAACAACAAGAAAATAAGATAAACAGTTGTATGGACTATATATATATATATATGAAATTATGATATTTGATGTTAGTGTTCAGATTTTTATATTGTGATGGATTATTTTGTTGATGTTGAATGTATAAACTAAGTCAATACAAAATGCTTTTGCCACTAATTATTTTCTAAAAAAAAAACACATTCTGCAACTAATTTTGTAGTAGCAAACAGTAATTTATCATAATTGGATTCCACATTCAGCGTCTAAAATGACTATAATTAGATACTAAATTTTGGTCACCAAAAGATACATTCGGCCACTAATAAAATAGTCGCGAAAACCGTTTGGATTCTACATTCAGCGTCTAAAAGAGTTATAATTAGCCACTAAATTTTGGTCACTAATAGATACATTCGTCGACTAACAAAATAGTTGCGAAAGCCTTTTACGAAATTACCCTTACACCTTTGGCGTCTTATTTGTGTGGGATTCACGACAAATTATTAAACACTAAAACTGACATTTTGCAACTAATTGATTAGTCGCTATACAATTTTACCAAATTACCCTTGAACTTTTAGCTTCTAAGTTGAGAGACTAATTTGACCAGCATTTACCGATTATTTTACTAGTCGCAAAAAAAAAAAAACTTTTTACGTCTAAACTACAATATAGACGCGCTATGAATCTACGACCAGCCTACTGCAACTAAGGGGGCGACAACCAAATTTAGACACTAAAAATGGCTTGGCGTCTTTTAGCGTCTAAATTTGACTTTCTGCGTCTAATTTGGCTAGACGCAGAATGCCAGTTTTCTTGTAGTGGATACAGTAAAAAGAACTCATTGTTCAACTACACTCTGAATCTCTAATGTTTTATTGCACCACGGATCTCTTTACACCAGGTTCACTCCTGGAAAACGCTTGAGCTCCACCCAAGCTTCAATTGTTGAAAACATGCTCCAGCATCAGTAAAGGAACCACGTTCCAACTACCATTCAACAATGAAGATAAACAAGAAAATTTCTAACACAAACTCATATAAAAGAACCTAACCAAGAACAACTTTCTGAAAAATTTAGAGCACCAACAAAATAGATATTTAGGTTCAAAAAGAAAAACAAACAAGGAAGAAGATGAACTTTCTTTTAGCTCAACAAAGATGAAGGATGATAAGTGTTTAGCACAAACACATATGGGGAACCTTAAGGAAAAAAAAAACTCTTTGAAAGTTTCAGAGCATAAGGCAAAAACAAACATAAAGGTTAGTTCACAAATGAGCAAGAATGAAGATAATATAGACCAATTTCATGCTTACCAATTCTTGCCAAGTCAACAAACATAGGCTAACATATGTTGGTCCAAAAATGGAAAAGATTCCATTTATCTTTTGGGACCACAACCAATCTTTTGGGACCACAACCAAAAAAGGAAAAAACTTATTTCCCTAGACCATAAGAGGATATTGGGACACATGTAAGTGGTTCAAATGACACCACAAAAGATGCAAAGAAAATATCTTAGCTGTTAAAACGCAACTTGTGAAAAATGAGTCAGACATGAGATGCTAGCACAATAGAAATGTGCGCGCACACACGAAGTAAAATGTGAAATGAAATACAACATGCATATGTCTGACATAAGTGTGCAAGCACACATCCATCGTGAATACACATGAAATGAAAATGCAAAAAGCATAAGCCTGACAGTTGAACACGTGGAGGACAAAAAGATTTCCAACTTTTTGTTGGACCAAAAACATATCTTTTCACTTTCTTGGGGGACCACAGACAAAGAGCCTTACAACCTTTTAGGACCACCTAGGAAAATTGTGACACATATAAAGTTAGCTCATACAAAAATATCATGAATCAAAATAAATATGATGGGCAAGATAATCAAAGAGAAAATGCCACTTGGCAAAATGTGTCACCATAACATAAGTTTGACAAAAATATCAATAACATATTTTACTTCTATAATCTTAAAAATATGTCCATCCGTAATATCTATATGACCTTAAAAGCATATTCAGAATCATAGATTAAAACAAAAATTACGAAAAGACCATTGAGAAATTCAATTTAGTACACCTGAACAACATTACCGATTGCTTTTTCAAAGTGACGTATATAATTTGAAGGACCCTTTAAGATCAATTTGATGCTTTTAAAATATTAGAGGCAGTTTTACCTAATCTTTGAATGATAATAAGTTCATTGAGTAAGATAAACATTCATGGCACGTAATAATACGGTTTTTTAAAGGAATATTATTGAATGCCTTTGTTGTAAAAAGCAAAATACAAACTTGGAATCAACTTGCTATTATTTATTTATACTAATATATATATTCTCAACGAGTCAATGAAAATTTTGCCATGCATGCCAGATACACACAAATTTTCAGCTTTTCTCCACTCTTAGATTGAACGTGATGAAATTAAAAAAAAAAATAACTCACAATATATATGTACATAGAAGAATCTCTCTCTATATATATAAATAGAGAGAGATGGATATAAATGTTATAAGTACAATCGAAATTTTCTTTCTGATCTATAACTTTCAAAGAGAGCTTGAAGTAGTTAGTGGAATTGTTGAATTCCTGTTAAGGAAGTGAAAGTTGAACCTTGAATTGCATATGCATCCCAACACATGGCAATCTCGTCTCCTTCCTTCTAAGTTCCTTCTTTTCACAAAATATTTATACCACTTATCAATGAAAATGTAGCTCTAAATGAAGGCCATTTCTCTAAAACCATTTGATTGTGCACAGAATCAATATCAAAATCCCACACCACAACTCTCAGACCTTCTATACGTTGAATTTTGCCAAAGATATCAACGCTCATGAAAGGCTTAACATGATCATCCACCAAAACCTTTTTCAACAAAAGTATGCTCGAATGACCCAGATCACTCCTTGTAACCCTCTTCTATAAGATAAAATTAAATGTGACCCATTAATATATGTCATTAAATTAATTATATGTGGCCTATTAATAGATAAATAATATTATTATGGTTTAATAATAAATTGAAGATTATCCAATTATCTATTTAAAAGTTATACACGATGTGTATTTGATGGAAGTTTATTTCCTAGAACCTTGGTACTCTCTCTACCTATAAAAGAAAGGAAACAAATTCTGGAAAATTAAAGAGAGAAAAGGAGAAAGAAACTAGTACACTTAATCACAAAAATCATCATCAACGAGTATTATGGGTTAAGGTATGTTTTTTTTCTTTCTAATTAACGGTTTATTATTGATTTTATAATATGTAAAATTCATGAAATTCAAAGATCCTGTAATTTAATCTTTCATGTAAATTTATTTACATCTTCCCGATGTTCCATGGATAAGGATGGAGACCGAAACACCCTTTCTCCTTTCTTCTTCCTCTTCTCTGGAGCTGTAGCGTTTCATCTCCATAATCTTGGAAGCTACCTCTCTTTGGTTTATATCAGCCTCAGAGAAGTCTCTAGGAACAGGTGCTGTAGCTTCTCTCTTCTCAGTTGGCCAAGCTTTATCTAACAGCGTTAGTTTTGTTGACAACCGATTGCCGTCTGATTGCGCTGAACATATGGCAGCAAACTGAGAACTGAATGGACCGTAGGCTATTGGTTGTTTCGCCATGGTTGATGATTTTGAATCTTGAGGGTTCTAAAAAAGAGTAGAAGGCTTTGTAGGTTCGTGGATGTGGAATGGAGTGAAGGGACAAATATCCCAGAGTCGAGTTACTTATACAGGAAGGTATATATAGAGTCTAAACTAGAAATTTCCCCATTCACATTTCACTTATTTAAATGGTTTAAATATAAAAACCATTTAAACTTTTTTAATTAATTCTTCGTAATATTGGTGTAGTCTTTCAAAATTAAAATTCTTAATGAATTAGGTTGACAAAATAGCGAAAAGAAGTTTAACACAATAACAAAAAAAGGTTTCTTGATGATACGTAGTAATTGAGTTGAGCGGTTATGGACATGAATTTCCAACTTCATAAGTACTATTAAATATGAAAATAGATTTAAAATTTGATTTCTACACTAACGAAACTAAAAGTGTAGAGAATTTTGTTTACATCAATCAAACTTTGACTTGGAGCTGTCACTTTTAGTTTTAGCATTTTTATTTTTTTTTCGGTTGGAGCTGTATTACGGTAGGACAAAAAGTGTTTCATAATATATTTTATTATGAAATACTTTTGTGTACTTTAAAATATAAGTGGAACCAACTTGTTTAAACAAAAAAATCGTCCAAAATTAATAGATTATGTAAACATTTATCAAATTCAAATGAATAAATCCTAGTATTTTAAAATACAGGATTTAGATATAGTTTATCGAAACCTGGGGTGGACAAAGTCTTTCTTTCCCCAATTTATTTATTTCTTTACAACTGAATGCATCTAATCAAACAATCGTTCATGTCTCAACAAAAGTATTATTAAAGTGTGTTTGAGATCACTGAAGTTTAAAAAATAATCAATTAAGTTTTAAGCTACAATAATCAAAATGTTTGGTAAACATCTTTTGAAATTGATTAAGTTTAACACTGATTATAAAATAATTAATTTTATAAAAATTTGTTTATAAATTATAAACAAATTCTTTGTATATAAAATTATTTATTAGAGTTTTAAATATTTATCAAAATAATTTCTCTAATATAAAAATATTTAAAGGAAAAATATATATACTTTTTGGTCGTTATACAGGTAATATACTAATACTGACTCCCACGTAGTGTTCTTTAGCAGTTGACCATGGCCATGTATCATCAAACAACTTGAGTTTTACTGAAACTTGAGTGTTCTTTATCCGATAAAGACAGATTTCAGTGGTGCTTGTTCTTTGTTGGTTTGATGAACAACAGTTACTTCTGAAGAATTTCATATTCCTATGGGTTGTCATGGTTCTTACGCTTTATCCTGTGTATCACTAACTTTTGTTTCTAGGGGATTTTTTTTTGAGTCTCCTTTCTTGAACCCACTGTTGCCATTGTTGAAGATTGATTATCTTGCTTTTGTGCCTGAGAAGTGGCATCCGTCAGATTGCTATTTGGTGGTGGTGGGGGAGTGGAGTCTCCACTGTTGAGCAGTGAAGACGCAAAAATCTTGAGGGCATAGAAAAGCAAAGATGTGAAAATCTCAATGAGTTTTATGGGTGATGGAGTGCTGTATGTGGAGAAAATAAATAGTGAAGATTAATCAGTTTTAGAGCAGAAGATAGTCAAGCGGTTTCTGAAACCTTTTTTAAGCAGGATTTGAAATATATTGAGTTTCCTGAACTTGATTGGAAACTTCTGATTACTTTTTTAATTTGGATTCTGAAATTTCATGTTGTTTTTGCTATCCTCTTTCAATGGAGACACCAATTTTTACAGTGTCAAAAATCTAAGGACCTAATGGTAATAAAATTACCAACCCAACATAGTTGAAGCAAGGAAAATCCATTTTATTTTACACTCATATATATCAGATCACCCGAAGTTTTGAGTATTCATGATTCTGAAAACTTCACAATGAATCCAAAGCAGAACATTACATGAAATTTTAAATTCAATATTTTAAATTTGCAATTGGAAAATTTGACTAAATTAAGGTAAACTCTATACATGCTCTCGTGCAGCTACATTGAGTGGAATATTCAGAAGTTAAATGTAAATTTTAGGCCGCACATTGAATAACATGAAAATTAAAGATTGACTTGTTAGGATCCAAGTACAATCCAATTTCATATCCTGTCTTCAAGTTTCGTCACTGATGAATTTCTGAGCCCATCCGTCAATGAAAATGTTGCTCTTTGAAGTTGACCACTTCTTCATAATCACTTAGTGCTGGATTGAGTATCTTGATCCCACACCATCACTGTCAAACCCTCTTTGCTTTGAACCTAATTAATCTGATGCCTATTGAGGAACGGCAACACATACTTTTCCATCAGACTTGTTTGCAGCAAAAGCCTACAGAGATGACCTAGATCACTTTGTGTTAGCCTCTTCTTTATATTCCATGGATCAGTGTAAAGTTTTAGTTTGGTTGAAACACCCTTCAACCTCTCTTCTTCCTCCTCTTCAAGATTGTACTATTTCATCATGGCAATCTTAGAGTTTGCCATCTCTCTTTTCTTTCTGATCCCCACAAAGTATTCTTTAGCCACAGGTATGTTAGCAGTTGGCCAAGTGTCATCAAACAACTTCAGTTGTGTTGAGCTTTAGTGTTGTTTGTCAGTGAAAGAAAGGTGTAAGTTATTGTTCTTGGCTTCTTATAATTGCTTTGACGAGAAAGAGTAACTTCTGTTGAAATTTCGCTAGTTTCTTCAGATTCTTGTGGGCTGATGCGGTTCTTACGCTTCATCAAGTGTATCACAGTGGAGATTATCTTTTGTTTCTTGGGGGTCTGTTTTTTATCAGTCTCCTTTCTTGATGAACCCATTGTTGAAGACAGATTCTCTTGCTTTTGTGCATGAGATATGGCACCCATCAGACTATTTGGTGGTGGTGGTGGTGGAGTTTCCATTGTTGAGCAGTGAAGACACAAAAAGAAGAACAAAAATCATGAGGATTTTGAGGGCAAAGAAAAGGGAGAGGTGAAAATCTTAATGGGTTTTATGGGGGTGATGGAATGGTTTATACAAAGAAATTAAGTATTGAATATTAATCAGTTTTTTAGAAGGAAGTAAGAAATTTGATTGTTAAAGAAATTTAATAAAACCTGTTTGAAATAGGATTTGAGGATGAGGTTAAGGAAATAAGATTAACCTGTTTGAAATTTATAAAACATGAAAATAACAAACTATAAACAACTTTTCTCCAGACTATAAACTGATCTGCCCCTCCAAAATCCAAATCCTAGACAGAAATAGGTTGAGGTACATCATCACAAGGAGCCTATCTATGAGAACTTGAACCCTAGATGGAGCTGCTTTTGGCAAGTGGATGAACATTGTCGTTGAAATTTTTCATGCCATTGCTCTTATTGTATGGTAACTAATTTGTATATGGAAAGAATTTATTTGAACTTTTTATTAAATATGTTTAGTTCGATTTTAGGCTCGTTCTTTACTCAGAATGAATAAGTAGGTTAGATATTAAACCCTTTTTTAGATTGATTTAGTCTCATAGGCAAACACATGCACTGAGATGTTTCTTTGTTTCAGGCAAAAACCCAACGTGATGAACACAATACCATGACTCTCCATTCTCGGGAGATTCTAATTAAAATTTCATGTTTAGTTACTTGAAATAATCTCAAATCTAAAGACTCAACGTACGGCCACAACTTCGTGGAACAAAGCAACCCAAATTTGGAAACTGCACATGATCAACCAGATTTAGTAGGTCATATTTAAATTAAATTAGATGGCAAAGCAAACCATTGGAGAATAATTTTTCGCATTTTGGAGCTAAAGAATAAAAAAAACAAAAATTTCTTAGGGTTTTAACATTAAATTTGTGTCTTAAAATTAACCCAAATTATCATGTTTTTACCTTGTAAACTAAATGAATCTATTTGTCGACATGAAGTGTCCCACATCAACATACTAATATATACACTCTAATTCTCTCTGCAAGTTCCACCTGTCTATAAAAATTTGACTTGATTAGTTCACTCTAATATCTCTGTTAATATTTCAGTAGTTTAAAATGAATATTACAAAAATAATGATATAAAAATCATAAGATAAATAATGATATAAACATCTTAAGATAAATTACTGGAGACTCAAAATTTTAAGTATGAGGACAAATTTGCTCATGTTGCTTATTTTTATTTGTGGGGAAAAAAAAATAACAACACAATGAACACATAACCATGTGTATTGATCTTTTTATTAAATTAGAAGAAATAAGAAGGAAAATAAATATTTACTATAGCCCGGTTTTAGCTGGGACAAATTCTGTTGTTGAATAGTTGAAAGATGATCTTGCTGAATTAAACAACATAATTAGGTCGATTTAAAACCCAATTTGCACTTCTCTATAATAAAAAGAGTTTAAACAAAATTTGATTTACATTTAATTATAAAATAATCTTAAGTGACAATATTTTATTATAAAGTTAAGAATATAGATAAATAAATTTTATCACTAATTATATCCCTTATTTTAAAGAAATAAATGATTTTTTTTTTAATTTAAGAAAAAAAAAAAAGGATTAAATTGGAAGAATTTCTAACTATATATTTTTAATGAGGCCTTGACTCAAGGAGAGGATAGGCCCGAAAAAGTCAGTAAACACCCGAAGCTCGAACGCCGTCCAGGCCTCTTTCAGAGAGAAAGGGTAAAAAAGTCTTTTGGCTGTTTTTTTGGGTTAATTTAATCCAAGAAAGTCAGAAGACTTAGAAACCTCTGCACCCCACAGTGCAACCACCACCTTCTCTTCTTTCGAGGTTCCCTCATGCAAGCGGCGAGTGAAATGTTCGCCACTAACAACAGGGAATATGGTTACTGCATGGAGAGGAACGTCGACACCGGCGCCTTCGAAAGTTATCGGTAATACTTGTCTCTACGCACCGTTTTAGAGATGCTTAATACCCGAGGCTATGACATTCCCTCCTCTCAACTCACTCGCTCACTGGCTGAGTTCCGTTCGATTTTTGGAGACAAACCTGACATCGAACGAGTATGTTTTGACTTTCCTCTCCGTTCCAAACCCTTCAAAAAGGTACCTTTTTTATTACCAAATACTATTTTACCTCTTTATGTTTTTAGATAAACACGAGTTCATTAATAATTTTAGTTTCTCCAAAAGGAAACAGATATCTTTCTTGCCCTTCCACCGTTCTTATTGTTGTTGTTTGAATGTGTTAATTGTTAAATAGCAAAATAATTTGTGTTGGCTGTTTGGCATGTCCAGATTAAATGATATAATGGTTATATAGAGCATCCTGACATTATCTTAAAAAATATTATGCAGATGCTGGTTATGTTCTGGGGAACTGATGAAGTCAAAACACAAACTGTTCGAAATATTTATGGTCAGATTATAAGTAGAGAAAAGATACATGGGCTGATGCTAATCTTGAAAAGCAAAATGACTCCTATTGCTCAAGAAGAAGTCAAAAAATTTCCAAGTAAGTCACCGTTTTAAACTTCCATTCTAGTTTGTGCATTGGTCTAAAGAGTACGTGTTTGTTGATCAATTTACTCTTGAATTTAAGTACTGACGATGATCATGCCTTCCCGAAAGAACTTTCATTCTGCATGACAGCCTCAAGTTATTGCAATGGGGCATCTTGTGAATACTGTATTGGTTGCACTATATTATATAGTATATATGTGAAAGATTAAATTTACGATACTCCACTCTGGGATTTAAAACCATAGTTGTAGGGAATATTTCTATTGGGTCTTGGATTAATTAATGAGAAAATAGCTTTGACTTGGTTGCCATGTTCTGAAAACCGGACCGGACTGTCCGATCGGACCGGTGGCATTTCCAGTCCGAAATACTTCAAAACCCGTTAATTGCATTTAAACAGGATTGGACCACCGGAATAGTGCCGAATCGCGGTCCAATCGCAGTTGAATCCCGTCGGATTCCTGCACCGATCGAGGGAGAAAACACCGCCATTAGACTTGACGGCATCTCCACTACAAAACCCTGCCATTTTCAGTGGCCGTCGTTGCTCGCCGTCCACCTGAACTTCACGCGACCGTCAGACTTCTTTTGTTGATTCTGATGATTTCCGACACCGATGGAACTCCCTAGCACCACCATCAGATTCGCCGACACATATACTTCAAAAGCCCCATGATTGCAAACCTCGATTGGCCGTCGATCGTCGCTGCCGCCACCATCACCAGTCTCTTCGTGCAACAAGGGTGTTTTGGATAGATTTCAAACCTTAAGGAAGTTTTGTGGGGTGTTTTTAATGAATTTCAAACATTTAGGGACTAAAATTTTTTTACATAAAACGGTCAAACGGACCGATCCAACAAGTCAAACCGAAAATCGAACCCTTGAACGGGTCGTAGGGTCCGGTTTTTGGAACATTGCTTGGTTATAGTATCCATACATTTTTTCAGTAGGTCCAATTTTGACTTAGAGCTGTGTTTTTTGTAGTGGGTCACATAATTTTTTTTTTTTTTTTTCAGTGGGTCTAATAAGATCTTAGTTCCATGTTTAATTACGAATGATTATTCTTACTTGGTGCTATTTCTTTACTTCCACGTTTCAATGGAACTAATTAACCCTAAAAAAAATACAAAAAAAAAATGCAGAATTAGAAAGAAATTCATAAGGCCCCATCTAAACCTAGAATCGAAAATTATATTTATGTTAATATGTAAACTATCCAAATATTATATTGATACAAGGGAGATTTTGGTAATTTGGACAAGTGTTAAAGAGAGAGATTTGTATATCATTGTCTATCTATTTGTCTGCAAAGAAACTAAGCACCTGAGCAGCTTCGATTTCCGAGTCTTGTTTCTGAATATGAAAAGAGCGTGGTCTTAGCATGCAAACGAAAAATAAATCTGATTTCCGGAAGAATGATTGGTGACTTTGCCTGTCAAAGAAAAATAAATCTAATTTCCGAAAGAATGATTGGTGACTTTGCCTGTCAAAGAAAAATAAATCTGATTGCCGGAAGAATGATTGGTGACTTTGCCTGTCAAAGAAAAATAAATCTGATAAACTTTCATTTACTCTCTATAAATAACTTGCTCTAGTTGCTACTTGCTTGCTGCCACAAATCAAAAGATTCAAAACCCTTCAAATCTCTCTCTCTCTCTTAACAGAATAAAAAATCATCATTCATCAACTATGGCGAAACAACCAATAGCCTACTCTCCATTCAGTTCTAAGATTGGTGCCACTTCTCCAGCACAATCAGACGGCGGAGATCATTTCTCAACAGAACTAACGCTGTTCGATAAGCTTGGCCTTGGCCAACTGAGACAAGAGAAGCAACGGAACCTGCCCCTAAAGACTTCTCTGAGGCTGTTATAAACAAAAGAGAGGTAGCTTCCAGGATTATGAAGATGAAACTCTACACCCCCAGAGAAGAGGAAGAAGAAAGGAGAAAGGGTGTCTCTACAAAACTTGGGCTCCGTCCGTATTATCCATGGAACATGAAGAAGAAGCTTACAAAAAGTGATCTGGGTCATCAGAGCAGGCTTTTGTTGTCAAAGGATTTGATCGATGAGTATGTTAAGCCTGTCATGAGCGTTGATAGCTTTGACAAAATTCAAAGTATGGAGGGTCTTAAAGTTTCTGTTTGGGATTATGATACTGATTCTGTGCAAAATGAGATGGTTTTTAAGAAATGGCCATCTTCCAACAGCAGTTACGTTTTCATTCAAAGCTGGCGTAATGATTTTGTGAAAAGAAGGAACTTGCAGGCAGGAGACGAAATTGCCATGTTCTGGAATGCAAGCTATTCAAGGTTCAACTTCCGTGTTCTCAACAAGAATTCAGCAATTCCACCGGCTGCTCCAAAGTTTTGAAAGCTACAGAAAAGCCATTTTGCAATATACATATAAATAAAGAAGATGTGTGTGCCCGCAGATAAAAAAGATGTGTCGTGGTGTTTTGTTTTTGTTCTAAGTTTGCTAGCTTAATGTTTCCAGAAAACCAAATAATGAAATAAAAATTTGTTTTGTTAGACACACGTGTTCTTTTGTTTAAATTGCCTTTAATTCATCTTGTTTTGTTTTAATCAAAATTGAATAAGGAAATTTTTAATATTCAGATGCCAAACATTATAAAAACTTTAATAACCATATTTAATCTTGTCAATGTCCTAACATTATAAGACTCTTTAAATGCCAAATTGACAATTAACCTAATGGTACTTCATTAATTTCATGATTAAATATAATCCATCCAAAGTGAGCTTAAAACTTGTTTGATTTCATGATTTTATTATATGAGATCAAATGTTAGGTTGGTTGCTTGGAATAGGTCAATTTAAGGATTAAAACCCACCCAGTTTGCACTTCCTAATTAAGCTTCTCTTACACATATATTCCAAAGAGTCAAATTGACAATTATTAGAAAGAAAAAACAAAAAAAAGAAACGGTTAATTTGTACTCAAAGAGTCAAATGGGCTGTTTTGACTAACTTGGTAAAATTTGGAAATTAATTATGTTAAGAATCAAGGATACATTACTATGTTAATAATGTGAGTTCCCATTGTTAAGAATCAAGGATACATTACTATATTAATAATGTGAGTTCCCATTATTTCAGATAATTAATCATATGGTTATTGTACTTCATTCGTTTCTTGATCGAATATAATGCATCAAAACTGAACTTGTACTTAGCATTGAATTTAGGCAACTACTTCTACTCTTACTTCATACCGTAGCACCATATTATTCCCATCTAATAATAATGTAGCCTCTATTTTCTTGATGAGAAAAGAAAATCATGAAACTGGAGGGATGATACAATGCATATTCGTTACTATTGATTGATAAAAAAAACTAAAAAAAAAAAAAAATCTTCATTAAAAATGATTACTTTTTGTTTGGTTAGTGTAGAAATTAAATTTCAAAATCTATTTTCATATTTAATAATACTTATGAAGCTGGAAATTCATGTCCGTAACTACAAATCATCAAAAGCTTTTGAAAAATAAGATGAAGCTTTTATTTGCTTCTGCTAATTATCAAAACTAATTAACTTTCTCTTTCTCTAATTGTAACTGATTCTTCTTTTCTATATCGTTATAAAAAAGAGTCTTAATACAGTGTATTGATGAATTTTATTAACTAAAATTGAAAATATTGGCAGTGTTTTCTGAAAGTGACCACAGTACCAGTACAAATTAACCTTGTTGGATTGGACCCACTGAAAGACTCACTAAAACTGAAACAGCTCTAAGTCAAAGTTTATGTTTTCTCATTAATTAACTTAACGTGTTTATAATACAGTTTGAAATTCTATTTTTAAGACAAAAAATGTTTTCAAAAGATAGTTTCGAGCAACCAGAAAGAATATAATCGTAAAAAAAAAAAAAAAGGTTATGGGGACTCGTAAATGTGTGATTGGGACAGATGATGTGATGAGCGAATCTTATACTCCGCACTACCATAGAACAGAGACAAATTGTGACCGTTAGTTAAGGAAAAGCGGGATCCATATAGAGTTATGAAGAAAATTGACGTTAAATCACTGTTACCCTTTTTTCTTAGTCGCTGTCACTTACGGTGGGCTGACGGTACACGCAACTATACTCCACACCGACATCTAAATCTCCATGTTCATGTAAATACTCCCCCAAGCCCAACTTGGAGAATTTGATAATAAAAAAATGGATCAAATATCATATCACTGTCTTCAATTGTTTATTTTTATTTTGTGAATATTAATTGTTTGTATCTTTACTTGATTGATCTTTTATATAACCACTGAAAACGTCAAACTACTACACAACCCCCAAGATCAGGTCTATCACCACTACACAACCAAACATATTAATATAACATACCCACTAACTAACCAAACATATTTTTTTAAAGATTCCTAGTAATCTTCTAAGATAATCTATCTTTCTAGTAATTCAACATTCCCAGTAATCTAACATTTCTGAACCAAACCCCCCCTCAAGGGTAAGAGGTAGCATAGCTTCTCATTGTATAAGTCAACCTAAGTTTGAACCGAATTTTTCAAACATAAGTTTGTAGCATATAGCATGAACATGAAAGCGAATTTTTTCCCAAATCTTAGCATGTGGCGGTGAAAAAAAAAAAAAAGCACGAAGATCCTTGCTAATGAAAATCTTAATTTAGGATAATGGTGAGTCCTAGACTTGAAAGTCAACCAGGATAAAATCTGACCAAAGGGATCTTTTATGATCACTGAAAATTCAAAGAAAGAATGAGACTTATGTATGATAATCCATGATAAATCACCAAACTTTTATGCCAGTCGTGCGACACAGATTGAGTGGTGCTAAATAATCTCCAAGTAATTATCAATCAAGTTGGGTTCGCCTCAACAACTCAAAATCTAGTTAAAATTATTCATGACATAATTATATGAATCATATGAATCATTGAGATTCCTTCAAACCAAAAAGCACTCCACTCCCAAGTCAATTTCCACCAACACTTCTGCTTACTTAAGCTCATTGTTAACTTAAAAGCAAAAATAGCGAGAATCGCGGTCCAATTATTTCTCCAGTCAATTCATAATGCAACTTATCACTATCCATGTAGATTTTATGTTGATTATATAATTGAAACTAATGTATGATTATGCCTGATGCCTGTTTGTTTCTTCCCAAAGCAGAAAGTGTAACTTTGTAAACTCTTCTTTAGAGTCTTTTGACATAATGCTGTCGTCAATACACTGAACAAGCGAAAGAAAAGTCAAATAATGAGACTTACGTATGATAATCCATGATAAATCACCAAGGGCAGTAAACCATGATAAAGCTTAATATTTTTTATGCCACTCGTGCGACACAGATTGAAATCTTTTAAACTTTTAATCAATTAATTAGCTTTCACTTCAGTGTGTCTTTTTCACTTTCAATATAACAATCTTCTTCTTCTCTCTATAAATAACTTGCTTTCTATATATAGAATCTGTGTTCTCTTCTTGCTGCCACCACCAATCAAACCCGTCAAAAATCTCTCTCTCTCAAAACCTTCAGGTTCTGAATCAAAAACCATCATTCATCAACCATGGCCAAACAACCAATAGGCTGCGCTCCATTCACTTCTCCGTTTGCATCAGATAGCGGAACTCATGTGTCAACAGAACTAACGCTGTTCGATAAAGCTTGGCCTTGGCCAGCTGAGACCAGAGATGCAACCACACCTGTCCCTAGAGACTTCTCCGAGGCTGATATAAACAGAAGAGAGGTAGCTTCCAAGATTATGGAGATGAAAAGCTACGGCTCCGGAGAAGTGGAAGAAGAAAGGAGAAAGGGTGTTTCTACACAACTGGGGCTCCCTCCTTATAATCTACGGAACATCAGGAAGAAGCTTACAAGGAGTGATGTGGATGGTCATCAGTGCAGACTTTTGCTTCCAAAGGATTTGATCGATGTGTATGTTAAGCCTTCCATGAGCGGTGATAGCTTTGACAAAATTCAAAGTGGGGAGCGTCTGACAGTTGCGGTGTGGGATTATGATACTGAATCTATCCATAATGAGATGGCTTTGAAGAAATGGACTTCATCCGGCAGCAGCTACGCTCTCATTGGCAACTGGCGTAAAGATTTTGTGAAAAGAAGGAATTTAAAGGAAGGAGACGAGATTGCTATGTATTGGGATACTTCAAGGTTCAACTTCTGCGTTATTAACAAGAACTGAGCAGTTCTATAGTTGCTGTTTATGAAACCTATATTATGAATTATCTTTTTTTTTTTTTTTTTTTTTAAAAAAAAATTCATGAAATTAAGTCTAAGACTAAGACTGGAGAAAAGCTAGAAACTTTTCTCTATATAGAATGGCAAAATATTCTCTAATCATTGCCATGATGAGAATATATATTAGAATAAATAAGTCATGGCATATGTGTTAATTTGAAATTTGTATTTTGATTTTTATAAGAATTATATATATGTGTGTGTGATTGTAAAAAAGTGTTGTGGTGTTTTGTTTTTGTTCAAGTTTGATTAAATGCCTTTAATTCATCTTGTTTTTGTTTTCTCTCTTTTTCAAGTTGGGTGCTAAATAACCCCCCAAGTAATTATCGATCTCTATGTTATCAAGTCGGGTTCGACTCAACAACTCAAAATCTAGTTAAAAATATTCATGAGATAACATAAAAAATATTATTCCTTAATTAGGCCTATTATATGTGACTAAATGATCCTGACATGACAAGAACAAAATTGGAAAATATTCATACCACTTTGCTAATTTTAATCATTGGACTGATTATCACTCAAGGGTAAGAGGTAACATAGCTTCTCAAGGGCAAAAGTATTAAACTTTATCATGGATTATCAGTAATCATAATTGCAGTGGGAATTAGAGTGTATATTATTATCTTGATGTAGCACACTTCATGTAGACAAATAGATTCATTTAGTTTACAAGGTAAAAACATGATAATTTGGGTTTATTTTAAGACGCAGATTTAATATTAAAACCCAAAGAAAAAAAAATTCTTCTTTAGCACCGAAATCCGAAAAAATATTCTCCAATGGTTTGCTTTGCCATCTTATTTAATTTAAATATGACCTATTAAATCTGGTTGACCAGGGGCAGTAAATTAGGTGGAAAGTATAGGGTATAAACAGAAATTGCGCCATTCAAATTTGCTTTGTTTTTTTTTTTCCTGGGTGGGAGAGACAAGTTCGTGTGTTTGTGACTTTTCGGGGCGACAAAAAAATTTGTACCTTTTCCAGGAGAGAAAGTTTGTCAAAGTTGATTAATACTTCAAAAAAAAAACATTTTTTTGATACTTTCAGGCTTGTTTTTTTTTGAAGTATTAATCAAAGATTTTTTTTGTCAATCTTTGATTAATACTTTTAGGCTTGTTTTTTTTTTTGAAGTATTAATCAAAGATTTTTTTGATACTTTTAGGCTTCAAAACTTGACTTATTCAACAACAACTAAAACACCTATTCTTCAGCTGCTACCTCATCAATCTATTCAGCACTTCCAAGTCAGCAACACTTCTGCAGCATCTTGAGACACATATTCAACAAATTTAAAGGAAGGAGACGAGATTGCTATGTACTGGGATGCAAACCTTTCACTGTTCAACTTCTGCGTTATTAACAAGAACTGAGTAATTCCACAGTTGCTGCTTATGAAACCTATATTATGAATTATCTTTTTTTTTTTTTTTTTTTTTAAAAAAATTCATGAAATTACGTCTAAGACTAAGACTGGAGAAAAGCTAGAAACTTTTCTCTATATAGCATGGCAAAATATTCTCTAATCATTGCCATGATGAGAATATATATTAGAATAAATAAGTCATGGCATATGTGTTAATTTGAAATTAACCCAACTTTTGTTTTTTTAGAGCTGCGTCACTCTGACTCCCACTGAAAACTTTCTCATAACAAATATATTATGAAATACTTTTTGTCCCACTGATACGTACAGAAGTGTCTCATGACAAAAATATTATGAGACACTTTATGAGACACTTTTTGTGCCACCCGGATACGGCTCCAACTGAGAAAAAAAAAAGCTCACAACCTAAAATAAAAAAAAAAAAAAAAAAAAAAAAATTCTCTCTACTGATATTAATAAGTAATAAGCATACTAGATGTGACAAAAATAAAAGAAATAGGTTAACCACGATTTCATTGATTAAACAAATAGTGACAAAAATCAAAAGCTACCATATATTCACCCATGTACCGGCTACCGCTGTAGATCCAAAATAAGTCTATCACTCCCACTGGTCACTCTAATTTCTAAAACATGATACGGATACTCTTTCATAGTCGCCAGTTCTTGATGGGAAGTAATAAGTATTCAAATGATCTGGGTTGCTTTTGTAATATTCTGAAACTTAGTTTAGAAACGGTGCGTTTCGTAACCCAACTAACATGCAAAACAGTATACCCGCCTTGTAACAGTATTCACTTAATTCAGTAAGAAAAATCCCCTAATTTCTTGTCATTTCTCTCTCTCTGTTCCTACCTACCTCTTAATTTCACTGAAAACCTTCAGGAAGAAAGTGAGGGTGGAGTGTGAAAGCTGAGGGCATCTCATCTCCAGGATTAAACTTTGAAGTGCAGGGATACCAGTAGAAACCAATCTCATCTCCAGGATTCAGATTCCGTCTGTTAACGAATTTTTGAACCCATCCATCAATGAAAACGTAGCTCTTGGAAGTCGACCACTTCTTCATAATCAACAAGTAGTGCGATTGAGTGTCTCAATCCAACGCCATCACTCTCAAACCCTCTTTACTTTGAGCCTCAATGATGTCACCGGCGCTCAGGAATGACAAAACGTACTTCTCCGCCAAACTTGTTTGCATCAAAAGTCTGGATAGATGAACGAACTTAAATAGTAAGAAAGGCTAAAATAAGCAAATATTAATAAGAAGGATTTAAATATATTTGCTTAAAAAGATGAAACAATGAGCATCTATGACTATGAGAACTTGAACACCTTAAAACAGCTGCTTTTGGCAAATGGATGATCATTGTGTTAAGATTTTTCATGCCACTCTTCTTATTATATGGCAACTAATTTATATATGAAAAGAATTATTATAATTTAGTTAATTTCGTTATCAAGCTCCTTCATTACTCTATATGGAACGTATATTGATGTTTTTGATCGCATAAATTAATTAAATTGGAAAACGAATGAAAGAAATAGGATACTGATTTTGTTACTCTCAATTTCATCCAATAAACAAATTGTGAGTCTGTACAATAGACGGAGGTTGAAGTTGAACATGCCAAAACTACAGAAAAAAAATCAACTAAATTAAAATAATCTCTCTTCTCTACTGTAAATGTTACAATCAAACAGCCCTTTCAATAACCCTAAAATTAAACATTGAAGTGTAGCGATCCCAGTAGAAACCAATCTCATCTCCAGCTTTTAGATTCCGTTCCGTCAATGAAAACATAGCTTTTAGAAGTCGATCACTTCTTCATAATCAAAGAGTGCTGCGATTGTGTATCTCGATCCAACACCATCACTCTCAAACCCTCTTTCCCTTGAGCCTCATTGATGTCATCAACGCTCAGGAATGGGAATACATACTTCTCCACCAAACTTGTTTGCGACAAAAGCCTGCATAGATTACCTAAGTCACTTTGTGTAAGCTTCTTCTTTATATTCCATGGATCATGTAAGCTTCTTCTTTATATTCCATGGATCAGAGTAGAGGGTTAGTTTGGTTGAAACACCCTTCAACCTCTCTTCTTTCTCCTCTTCAGTACTGTAATGTTTCATCCTTGCTATTTCGGAGTTGTCTGTCTCTTTCTTCTTTTCAACTCCCTCAAAGTATTCTTTAGCCACAGGCATGTTTGCCGTAGGCCAAGTATCGTCAAACAACTTAGGTTCGGTTGAAACTTGAGTATTCTTTGTCTGTGAAAGAGTGGTGAAACTTGTTCTCCGTCTCTTTATTATTTTAATTTGACGAACAAGATTGGATTTCGTTGGAATCTCAGTTGTTCCTTTGTAGTCTTGCAGATTGTTGCGACTCTTACGCTTCATACATATCACTGTTTTACGATAAGAGACTTGCGTTTGTTTATCGTGGGTTTGTTTTTGTGTCTCCTTTCTTTAACCCATTAGACTATTTGGAGTCAGTGTTGGTGGGCGTAGATAGAGTCCTTGTTCTCTCTAAGATTTTTTGGTTATATTGGGTAGTTAGATTTTTATTGCTTTTATGTTTTTTTTTTTTTTTTTGTTTGGGGGGGACAAAGTCACAAACTATCTTTTGTCTCTTTTGGCCAAGATTCCCAAATGTTGCTAAAGCCAGAAAATTGCATGGATATGACTTGGATTAATTCAAATCTTTTACCTTTCTCTCTATCCTGGGGCCAAACTCACACCTTTCTGGAGCTATAGCATACATTGACAATGATGGAGTTTTGTCGGTTTCCATGTTACTATTTTTATTTTTCACTTGTGATTTATCTACTTGTAGAAAATATACGAGGAGCACAAGAAGACAATCTTGAATTATATGGGGATTAAGAAGCCAATACGGCGTTTTTATTTTGTTTGGAAAGCAAACAATTTGAGAGAATAAACTCTAATCATTTAATATCGTAAGTGATATGTGTCAATAGCACCTCAAAAACTCAGGTAAAATCAAATTAGGAGAAGACCCCAGTTCTTGATGATATTGTCTAATTGGTATTTGATTTTTTATTAATAATTTTTTAGTTTATGATATGATCTGTAAAGCACTATAACACAAGATTGTATACAGCAAATACCATAGGCATTACATAGAACATTGAATACATACTCAAGGTTGTAGCCAAGGGTGGCTCGGCAAGCAATTCTTAATTCTGTGCAACTTGACATTTTCCTGGTTCAGCTTTGCCTCACTAAAATTCCTTGATTCCTCCATGTAATTTAGAAGTGTGCTGTTTTATTTGTTTTATTTTTTGGGTCCAGGCATCTGGTTTTGAGATTTAGTTGTATTTTACAGATAACTTGAGTTTGTTTCTTAATGGCCTGATGCGTCTCAATATCAGTATATATGATAGCCATAAACAAAAACTAATCATACTAATCCAAACAGATTTTATAATGGCTTATCCTGAAGACAAATTCTCAAAATACTCGATAGGTAAGAGGACCGCCAATTCAAAGTTAAAGAATCTAGAGCTACTAGCCTTGCTACTTCATGCGCTAACAAATTA